CCGCCACACGGGCAAGATTCAAAAATTTTCTACTAAATTTGAATGTGTCCCGTGCGCTCATATGACTGTATGCAGTTGCAAGTTTCGTAAAACATCCCCCCCCCCCCCCCCCCCCCCCCAAAAAAAAAACCCTCCCAACAAAACCACCACATTTATTTCACCCACTGACCGCAGTTTGCTCACTGTTGCTAAATACTATCATAATCATTCTCCCAACTCAGGAATTGAGCGTGTGGTTGGAGGGTGCTATTGAATGGCCCTACTTCCTTTCTTTATCTCTGTCGTTTTTTAAAATCAGTTTTCATTTTTTTTGTTGGTTTTGTAAGAGTTTTATGGCGCTCGCAACTGCATAAGATCATATGAGTGCGCGGGACACATTAAACATTTTTCAGTAGGTAGGAAATTTCGAATTTTGCCCGGGTGCCCGCCGAAGCTTACTCTTATCGATTTTAGACCAACAAGGGATCTTTAACGTGCGCAGCTTGCACACGGGACCTCCGAGATTTTTCACCCTTGTCCGAGAAGTCTAGGTGTAGATCTTTCTTATTTGAAGATCAGGTGTGTGGTTGAAAGGCAGCAGTAAGAAGGAGCCAAGAACAAGCACTTGAATGGTTGCAGAAAGAGTCAGGAGCACAGAGGAGGGGGCAAAGGAGGTGAGGGGGGAGGGGAGAAAGTGTAGATGAAAGCAGACGACAGAACATTGTCAGAGAGCAGGGAAGGTGATAGAAGGAGACAATATTTAGAGAATAAAATGTTCCGTCGCTACCCGGATTCGAACCCGGGACCTTTGAATGAGAGGCCAACACCTTAAACTCTAGGCCACGAGAGCTCCCATCTTTATTCTTTGATACACTATGTGCCGGTTATTGCGTCGATGTGCTTCTCTTCATTTCAACTCCAACTGGGAATTAAACTCGTGCCTTTTACGTGCCTGGTAGAGAGCCTGTTCGGGTTATAGCACAGACACTCCTTGTTCAATTTTGTTTATCCGTTAATCCTCTCCGTGCACCCTGGGGTCATTTTGTACCCCCGGGGCTGTATTCTTCACATTTTAGAATACTTCTAGTACGAATATTATCTCTTTGAAACTTTCAAGTACTTCTCAAAAACCCATTTTGACAGACTGCTATGCAAAGCGTACAGAATGGATTAACGAGTAAATTTCCTCTTTAGAAAGTGTCGCCATAGAACTCCCCACGTCGTAAGGATATGATAGTAAAACACGACATATTTTGTTGTTGTGTGTGTGTGTGTGTGTGTGTGCCGGGCAAGGAGCCTGAGAACTATATCACTGATAAATCTACTCCTGGTTCAAAGGAATTAATGCCTCAAACTAGGATTTGAACCCAGACCTTTTACGTGCCAAGCAGACAGTCTAAACTTTATAACAGAGATAGACATAGGCTACTGCTGGCTCAATAGAATAAATGCTATATACTGTTAAGCAGCTGAAGGTTATCTCGCTTATTTGAAGATCAAATATTACCAAATGTCACATATACAACAATCATAGTAAGGAGTCTTAAAATCTGCATTCAAATTTGCGAGAGAAAAATTGTTTCCATGGATACAGCGGCCATATTGGATTTTTGTGACATTTCTTCATTGAAATAAATTGGGTTTGTTTTATTTTTGCTCGCATCTTGGCATACAATAGATCTACAAATTTGTGCGATGAATTGTTCCTAAACGTACTACAAAATTTTTAATGATTTTTTTTCTGAGGTAGTATTCACGTTTGCAAAAGCTCCGTTGGACTCCACACTCCAAACAACACCTACAAATTGAACTCAGTGCCAGACAGACAGTTTAAATATTACAGACTTAGGCTACTGTTGGTTCAATGGAATTTATGTCGCAAATTAACTGGGTTTTAAACTCAGAACTTTTACGAGATCGGCAGAGGGACTAAGAATTAAAGCACAGACAGAGGTACTGCTGGTTCAATGGAATGAATGCTTTAAAGCTGCTAATTGAACCCAGACCTTTTACGTG